CCACATGGAATCCCTGGAACAGTGGAAGAACTTGAATCTATTGTGAAAGAGACTTTTGAGGTTGATGGGAAGTTTACTTTGCACTATAAGGATGCTGACTTTGGAGAAGAATATTTTTCTCTGACATCAACAGGTGATATCAAGGACAAGGACACACTTAAGGTGGTTCAGATTATTGAGCCTCCCACAGTTACTCTGACATTTAGTGATGTAAACAGTTCCTTCAAATCTGCATCAGAGACCTTGGTCAATGCTTCAGCAATTTCAGAGACATCAGTCTCACAGACATCAAGTGTGTCCTGTGGCACCAGTTGCTCATCTGGATCTCAGGATACAGTCATTCTTTCCTCACCTGAACATTTGAGTCGGCGTTTACAGTGCTGGCCTACCAATTTTTCTGTTCCTCGCTTTGCTTATGACACAGAACTTTTACTTGCTTCAGGAAATGAAACTTTCAAAAAGGATGGAACTAAACTTAACTTTACTCCACTTCTTCCAGACATCCTTGAGAAACTGGCTGAAACGATCTTTCAGTATGTTGCCTACCCAACATCTGCACAATTAGCAGATGTAGCTGAAGCACTTGTTCAACAACATCCTTGCCTTAAAGAACCGGGATCCTATAATGGATGCTATGGATGGCAACAAAGACTGAAATATAAAATGGGCAATTACAGAAGTAAACTCAGAGGGCTTGGGTGCCCTGAGCTGGATGTGAACTCTCTCAAAAGAAAGCAAGCACATGAGAAGACACCTTCAAAGAATCTCAAAAAGCCAAGAAAGGCTGAGGTGAACTATTTGCCACCTCACCCACAAGGAGAAACAGAGGGAAGCTTGGAAAAGGAAAGATTGGAACTTCTTGATGAAGTGAAGAAGAGGAACAACTACCGGATCATCAGTGAAAAAATGGCCAAAACATTCTCGAATCGCAGACAGGAAGTTGTTAATCTGGCACCACCTGTGAATGACTTCAGAAGTAGATGGCCTGCGCTTTTTGATGCAGCACAGGTGATTTTATTAAATAATTTATAGGATAACTTATAATTGTGACATTGTACATTACATTAACACATTGTGCTTTTAATTGTCTTTTTTTTATATATTTTTTTACAGATAAATGATGAATTCCAAAGGATCACCACTGTTAACTTGGAAACAACATTCATGGCAAAACTGGACCAGTATTCCACAAGAATAATGTCCCTGGTCTCTTCAAAAGGTGGTGCTGCAAAAATTAAGATTGAGCGCATCAGGAACATGTTGCAAGAGGTAAGAAAAAAGAAACTGAATATAATTGATAATCTTACACACCTTAAATGTTAATTACCTAATTCATTATCTCAGGAGCATTGTTGGCTATCTTTTACTGAAGAGTGAAAAAGTGGACATCAGAGGTGGACAGAGTAAAAATTTGCTAAAGAAAACATCACTCAAAATATATTTGTCTATTTTCTTTATTGTAAGAGTCAAGGATATAGTGATGTATTTGTAACTTGGTAACTCCGATTGAAGAGAAAAGGTAAAACTCAGATGCATAAGTATTTTGCACCTCATAAGTGAGAAGAAAAGACATTAATGTAACTTTTGGTCACATAATTGCAAACTGAGGTGGGTACATTTAAATAGGTACTTTCCATGTCACATGTAACTTGACAATACATTAAGGTAAGTAAGGGTCATATTACAAATAATGTGAGGAGAAAAAACTGAGGTAATGATTTGGAGTGTTACAAGTATCTTCATCAATTGCACAATAAATGTTTATGAGGAAGACAAGTTACACAAATACATTAAAGAGGGTAGATAGGAGCTTTTAATGTTTTAATCACATCATTACAAGACTTGTCCACAGGTGGCTTTTTCCAGTTCTGCATCACATATCTCACATATAACTATTATAGTTGAATCCTTAGAACTCAACAAAAACTGTTTGAAATAGTCTCCAAATCTAGGTTACATTTACTTTCACTCACCTTATCCTGCTGCTAGCAAAGGGTGCATTGAAAGCAGGGTAGTATGTAATAGATTAAATTCAAGTTATAAAAATTAAATTGTTTATTTGTTAAAAACAAAAATTTAATCAATAATTAGCAAAACGCTAGTCCTATAAATGTAATATATTTGACTTTTCGACTAGTAAACTTTTTTTATTCTCCAGAGTTTGGTGGAAACAAGAAGAGAGGTCGCAATCCGTTGCCTGATGGTGTATTTGAAAGAGAAAGAAGAGGATCTCTTCAGAGAACAGCTGGTAGGTAAATCTCACATTGTTTTGT